CATGTCAATATTCTCTAGAATAATCCTAGGATGCCTATAAATAGGGCATTTGGGGATTGGATTAAGAATACAAGTGCACAAGTAGTCTTCCACTTTCAAGAAAGAATAGAGAGTAAAAGAAGAAGGAAGGAAGAACACATTATCAAAGGAGAAAGAAAATTGTGAGAGAAAGAGGAAAGACATCGATAATATCTCATTTCGGGTAACAAGCAACACTTAAAAAACATATCATTTGGACTTGAGGTGAATGGTTTGGCATGCTACGTATTTTCAAAAATTTCCCGTATCCCTAAACATTTTAAAAATAATACATCATGCTAGTTCATTACTACCTTTACAAAATATTTTGCTAAGTGTCTAAATACTTGTGGAATATGATTCTCCTTACTTTGATGAATTCTTTTGTGAATTATTGTGACTCAATCACTTGTTTATATGGTGAGACTTAGTGATGGTGAATGAGATCAAAATTAAAAGTCCAGGAAAATTATTCTTTTGTGTGCGGGTGACTCTGGCCACTAGGGAACAGACCCAGGGGAGGCTGAGGTGACCCTAGTGCTCAACGGTTGAAGGAACAGTGCCTGGTGCGTCCTGGTGACCTTCACTGGATCGTCTTAGGGAACATACCCGGGGGAGGCTGTGGTGACCCTAAGTACGATGTTGGATCCAACCCTGAGATATATTTTGGTATTTGGTATTTGGTATTTGGTTCCCATCGATTATTGGATATCGTACAGTCTCCACCATTATGATATGATTCACCGTTGTGGTACGATTTCTTGTTGAAACCCGATTGTGTTATTCTTGAGAAATTGGTTATCTTGATGAAGTTATTTTTCCAAATCTTTGATTTATTTGTCGTATGCCAAAAATGTTTTTCAGCCACTTTGAATATGCATGCCTTTCCATTCACTGGGCTTTTTAGCTCATGTTTTCCAAAATACTATTTTTCTAGGAAAACGATTGGAGTGTCAATAATGGACTCGAGGAATTGATTGGGGACTAATAGTGTTGTGACCTCCGTAGCATATGTCGTATAGCCATCTTTACTTGTTTGGATAATTGGGGTAAACAGGTTTAGGTATGTTGACTTTGACATGAGATCAATTTAGTGTTAATGTTATTTTTCACTCATATATTATTAGTTTATTGGTAGGCTTACGTGTTCCAAAGGTTATAGATCTATAGTTCACGGCCAGTCATACCCTTGGAGTTGGGGTGTGACAGAAAAAGCCTTGGTTTGATTGGTTGCTAAAATTTTTTTTATTGTACATATAGAAGGCTTAATGTTAGATTACTTGGAGCTTTGATGCTAGATTAGTTTCTTTGATATATAACCTTATGGCTTTTATGTATCGTACATGCATGAATTAGGTGAAAGGAAGGTGGATCAAAAAAATTAGGGGTTAATTTGCTTTAATGTGTTCGACTTATTTTAGTGTCTTTTTATGGTCATTACCTAGATCACACAGTTTGGGCATTTCTTTGGTAGAAGAGCGTGAATTTCTTTAAATTTGAGAACCCATGTACTTGTTGATATGGTTCTTTATGCTTTTATTGGTTTTTGATATGAGCAAAATTTTTCATGGTTGTATCAATAGATTGGGGAATTGTTCCATTCTAAGTTTTGAATTTTTTTTCAATAATTTTATTACAGAATCTTATAATTTGACCATGACACAATCAGGACATGAGATTTTTTCTATATATCCAATGAGTTGAACTCCTAACCTTCTTGGTTAATGAAGCTTGCACATCCATGTCAATGTACTGATTCTTTTTTATTTTTGTTCCCTTCGAATATTTGCAAGATTTTATCCCTTTATCCCTTTGTCTGCTCTAATTGCATATCCACATAGGATTATTTTTTATTGCTATCCCTTTATCTTCTCTAATTGTTTTTCTAATTCTATGTTTCAAGGATATCTATTGTGTATAATTTTTATTAGTTGTTTGGTTAGTGGATATGTTTTACTTAAGGTTTTGTTTCATTGTTTATTGTATTGTATTTGGATTTTTCTTCATATCTTCATCACTCTCTTTCTTGATCCATATGAGATGTTCAAGAAAATGTTCAAGATGTGAAAATAGAGGGGTTCTCAGAACTTCAAATTCACTAAGGTAATCGATATTGTGCCAAAGTTCCCTTTTGCTTCCACTTCGGTATTGGCACCCACACAATACACATGCATATATGTTTGTGCAAACACACACTCTACCCATCCCATAGAGCTATGGAACATCCAAGATTGCCTATATTGGGGTATTCACTTTCTTGATGTTTTGGCTTCTTTTTTTTTCGTTTATATTTTGTAGGTTTTCAAATGTTTGCAAAAGAGTGAACCTAATCTTCACTTTTGTGGTTCTATTTGAATTTTGTGATTTTAGCTTGATTAACCCTAAAAGAATGCGTAATTGAATTAGGGTTTAGAGTTAACTGTGTGTGTAAACTAGGTTAAAGTGATTAATTTATAAAGTATTAGGGTTAATGCATAGTTTGTACATTTTGCAGGGTTTTAAGGATAAAAATGGAAATCTAAAGGGACCAAAGTGCAAAGGCTAAATGAGGAAGGGGAGGAAAGTATAAACCACAAGTTAACAAAAGAAGGCTGACCAAGCAAGGAAACTATAGAAATGCTAACATCCTGACGGGGGTGATGGCGTCCGAACGGTTCTTAAATCGCATCAATTCTCTCCTCTCTCATTGGTCTAATTGAGCAACAAAACACCCTGATTGGTCTATCTTGATATCTGCCACTTTGAAACACCTCTTCATGCCTATACATACCTGAGTTTAGCCATTTTTTCGGAGATTCACCAAAGAGATCATAAAAGTTCAAGACAAAGAGAAAAAGAGACTTTAGGAGGAATTTCAATCAGAAAATGAGCAAAGCCCTACCCTAATCACTTCTTGGCCAGAATTTTCTCTACTTCTATATTTCTGTTTATCCTTTCTACTTGGAGGGTTGAACCTCTCTTAATTTTGTGCCTTAGCTAGTAATAAGAGTTGTAGTGTTTCAGCTATTCCTCAGGGAACGACTTCGTATATTTTGTTTTCAGTTGTAATGGAATTATATCACTCCTTTTGATCGTCTATAGCAATGAGGCGTGAGTAGTCCGTTTATATTCTTGGGTGCAAGGTGAATACATGTGTAATTCAGTTTAAGTTATGGAAATTCTGATGTTTTACTTATGCGTTAATGTTTATACACCCCTTAATTGATGGATGGTTACTATTATAATATTCTCATTGTTATGAACACCTAGCAAAACTTAATGTTATATACCATACTATCTATAATACTACAAACTTCATGTATGATATAGTGATGCACGTAGGTGGGCTTTATGTAACAGTCGAAAAATTGGTTATAGACGGGTTAAATCTCACCATAGTCAATACTTTTGATTCAACGCATAAAATGGAACTACGCCTTTATTGAATCATCAACCTACCGATTGAATAGCTAGAGTAAGCCTTTTGAATGGTTTACCATCAGGTTTACTAGGGTTATTTGTTTGTTGCGTGATATATAGACCTTCCAGCTAACCTAATCAGTTGCAGTGATATGGTTTAGTTATACATCAAACCTACAGGTTAGCTTTTAAGTAAAATGAGAGTTAATTGTTGTAAGGTAGCATTTTCATAAATGAACATGTAATACATGTTGAATCCTCGCGCTAAAGAGTACCTTTTTGTCATTGTTATTCAAATTTTTAATTAAGTGTTTATTTGATAATTCTAAGCTCACATCACAAGTTGTTTCATTGCACACTACACACAAATTTTACGATTTTTTGTTTTGAAAACCAACAGTTAGGTCCTTGTGGGTTCAATCTCAGACTTAACTGAGAAACATTGCAATTTGACCACTTAACTTGGGTGTATGGCATAAATTAGGTTAGATCAAGCTTTTTGGCACCGTTATTGGGGAGTTAAGGTGATTTCAAAACAAACAGGGAAATTTTCTAGTTGTATTATATGTGTATACATTGTCTGTCATATTTTTATTGTTTATGTCTATTAAGTCATCAATAGGGTCTATAAATCAATCGAGTCCTTCGTCTTCATCATCTTCATCGTCACAAGCATCATTAGACTATTTTGAGTTAAGCATGGTTAATAATAATCAAAGGGAACAAGAAGTAGTTTAGAATGTCTGACCTTTAAGAGAATACTTGTATCACACACGCACTAGTATCCCATCATGTTTTTCTTTTCTCACTAATGATCCAAATTTTAACATTAAAACAGGGACAATATAGCTTTAACCACCTCCGTATGTGGTGCATTGCAAGATAATTCTGAAACAGTCTAGTTTAAACTTTTTCCTTTCTCTTTGACGGATAAGGCTAATAAGTGGTTAAATTCTTTAAAAGCTCAATCCATTCCAAGTTGTCAAGTTTTGCAATCTAAACTTTTCAAAATTTTTTTTGCTATGCACCGTACTAATGCATTGAGGCGTCAAATCATGAATTTTTATATGAAAGAAGTAGAGACTTTTTTATCAATTATGGGAGAAATTTAAGGATCTTCTTCTGCATTTAAGAGTTGGAATTTAGTTGGTTTCTTTTATGATGCTCTCCCGTCCGCATTGTGTTAGTTTGTTTAAATGATGGCCTAGAGGGAATTCATGGGTAAGAGTCTCAATGAGGCATTCGAATTTTTTTGATACCAATTCTGAGAGTTCCCAAATGTGGGACTCGACCTCACCAAATATTGTTGAAACTAAGCCCTCTTCATCCCAATAAGGGAAGTACATGTTAAAAGAAGATGATGACCTAAAGGCCAGAATGGATACCTTGTCATGGAAGCTTGAAGCTCTAGAGATGAAAAAAGTTAAGAAAGTTTCTATTTTGTCACCCACTGATCAATTGTGTGGAATCTGTGCTTTGTCAGGACATCCCATGGGGGAATGTCCCACTATTCCATCATTTAAAGAGGTCTTTAATGTAGCTGTGGGGATTTTCTTGTAGCTTGTCTCCTGGTTTCTCAGCCGATGAGGGTGCTTCCAGCTGTTGGTCTGCTATTTTTTGGAAAGGCAGCATTGTTCACGCGACTGTTCACGTGAACAGCCTGCTTGATACTTCATCTCTTGGCCAGCTTCAACGGGTTTTTTGTTCCAGCTTGGGGTTCCTGCTTATCTGTTATTCCTGCTGGGCATCCTTTTTTGCGGTTCTCAGCTATTGGAATTGCAGCTGGTATTTCAGCTTGGTTCCTTGCCAGCTGATCTTATTCTGCTGGTTTTGGATTGGGCTGGTTCAGCTGGGGTTCTTGGTTTGCTGCTGGATCTTGGATGGTCTTCTGCTTTTCCAGCTGGTTCCAGCTGTGGTTTCTGGGCTCCACTTTGGCAGTTCTTCTGGCTCATGTCTACTGAACTTTGGCTTCTGTGTTGGATTCTGCGGCTGGGGTTTTCTCAGCTGCATTCTGTTACTGTTACCATTGATTTGCTGGGTTTCCAGCTGCTTGCACACATTTTGGACAACTGATTTTTCAGCTTTGCTGCCTGCTGGATTTCTGCTGGCTCTCTTGAATTTTGTCTTCCAGCTGGGGTGTTTCTACGGTTCTGTTTTGCTGGCCTTTTCTATTTTTCAACTGGATTTCAGCTGGATTCTTCAGCTGGATCCCCCTTTATTCTATGCCTTTCTGTTGGTTCCAAGGCTTGCTGGCTGCAAAGCAGATGCTTCTCAATTGGTTTTGGTCAAGTATCACTGTTCATGCGACTGTTCACCCTACTGTTCACATGAACAGCCTGCTTGCTTCTACTGATGGGCTTTTTCAGCTGGATCTTGGCTGGAATTTCAGCTGGTTCTTTGCTGCTTTTCAGCTGGTTCTCTGCTGCTTTTCAGCTGGTTTCTCAGCTGGAATTTCAGCTGGTTCTTAGCTGCATTTCAACTGGTTTCTCAGCTGATTTTTTGTGCAGTTTTCAGCTGGAGTTCACACCTCATATTGTTGATACAACTAGATTTGTTCAGTCACTCTCTTTTGTAAACATTGAAGGCATTCCACAGCTCTGCACAGCGGGGCTTCAGCTAGATTTCCAGCTGGTTTCAATGGGTTTCCAGCTGGCTCTAATGGGTTCCACTTGCTGCTGTGATTGCTGGGCTGTTTTGCTGCTGCTTGTTTTGCTTTGTGTTTCAATGATGGTGGCTGATGGTCTTGTTGCTGTTGCGATGTTGGGCTGCTTTGCTTATGATGAAGGCATTATTTTGTCCTTTATTTTGAAGGATTAAAGCCAACTTTGGCTTTCTTTTTTTTTTATAGCTTTGCTTTGTCTGTTTCTTGTAATCTTGGTTTTTCAATAATATTCCTCCATCTTTCACCAAAAAAAAAAGGGTTTGGGTTTTAGGGCAATTATCAAACTAGACATGATGAAAGCATTTGACAGAATGGAGTGGGACTTTATATATCAAACTCTTAGAAGCTAGGATGGAAAATTATGAGAAATATTCTCCCAATGGATTCTACTTTTCAGAATATGGGGGTTTTGATAGTGAGCAGATGTGCTTTATGTTATGGTGATTCAGAAACAATGCAGCACTTATTTATTGACTGCAGGTATGCCCTAGCAATTTGGACAAAAATTTCGCAGCTAATAGGTTTCCAGCTGATTCCTAATGAAGCTCCATTGACTCGTTTCAAGAGGCTTAATCGAATCTATCGTCAGGTATCACTCAGTCACATACTGATAAGAGGATTACCATTATTAATTTACTGGCAGCTTTGGAAGGAGAGGTGTATTAGACTCTATGAGGATCATAAAAAACATCCATCAACAGTTGTTATGTTAATTATGAACAACTGCAAATTGCAAGTTCATAATGCTAGGCCAAAGGCTATAGATACTCAAGCAGGTTTGGAATTTCTTAGTTCTCTGAATGTTTCTTCTGTAAGGAGGCCTATAGTTCTTGCTAAATGGATCAATTGGGATTTTCCAAGGGAGGGTTGGTTGAAGCTGAATACAGATGGTTCCTCTAAGGGAAACCCAGGTCTGTCTGGAGGAGGTGTTGTATTGAGGAATCATTGGGGCCAGATAATTTTAGCTAGCTCCTATTATTATGGTTCTAATACGAACATGATGGCTGAAATTCAAGCGCTACTGGATGGATTGAAATTGCTACTGGAATTTGGGTTAGATTTATATCCTATTCTGATTGAGACAGACTCCCAAATTCTAGTAGATATGGTTACTCATTCAATTTCTCCTTCTTGGAAGTTTTGGAGCTTATTAGATCAAATTAAGTCTACTCTTGCCAGATTTAATTTTCAAATCAAACACATTTATAGAGAAGCAAACGCGGTTGCAGATTCTCTAGCAAGGAAAGGAGGTTCAGATATGGCTACTGTTATACATTCCTCTACTAACACACTGCCTTCTACAACAAGGCTACTGATGATGCAGGATCTTAGAGGGATTAAACCTTTGAGGAGGAAAGTCTATTCAAATTAAGCATTCTCAATCATTCATGAGGAACATCTACAACATTAATCAAAACTGGAAGCTCAAGATTGTTTATACAGTCCACTTATTCCCACTCAGGATTATGAAAGGGGATTTCTCATGTTCAGTATTTACAAAAGTTCAACCGACTGGAGTAATGCTGAATACCTTTTTGGCGCTTCATCTTCCTCTCTTTTCAAATCGATTGGATTTCCGCTGGATTAGGAATTCTTACTGGGATCACTGTCACGGTCACTGGTATTCTTGGGGCAATTGCTTCACTTGGGATTGTCTTTAGAACTTCTGCTGTACCTGGGTTCTGTTGTTCCTTCCGTCTCGATTGTGGGAATTCATCAAAGTAGATCTTGGTTTTGCTGGATCTATTAGGATCTATTACAGAAGGTTTCTGCTGTTTTGTGCTACTGTGGAGGAATTTTTTAATACGTACTGCAGCTGGATTGGGGATTCTTCTCTCCTGTGGCTTATTCAATTTTTTCTGTGCAAGGATTCGTATCTCTCTCTGCTTAATGGACTGTTTTGGGATTTCTTTGCATCTGCATTTCTTGGTGGTTGTCTGTTTTGTAGGAACCCCTTCATCTCAGGTTTTATTGGTTCTTCAAGGCTCTGTTGCTGTATCAATAGGACCGCTAGGCATTCATTGTGTTCTCCCCTAGAAGCTTAATTCTCTGCTTTATCATGGTTTGCTAGACTCTCTCTTGGCTCTTGTCTGGATCTTTTGGTTGGGATCTCTCTGGCTCTCAGAACGTCTCACTCATCGAAGGGGCATGCGACTGTATTGGCTTATCAGATCTGTTGCTGCTCCATTTAATTGCCCTTATCAGACCAGCTCCTTGCTAGCTGGACATTTATTGCAGGAGTTGACTGGTCTTCGCCTGTTCTGCTCCCAGCCCCAGCAACTTATCATATGCATTGCCTGTTATTTTGTGCTCTTATCGATTTATTGTAGGCAATGATTGGCAGCTTCTTTCTTTTAGCTCCAACGGTCTTCAGATCAAACTTTCAGCTGCATTTTTCTAGCGAGATCCCACAACTCATCTTACTACGCAGCTCATGCTTTTAGCTCATTTGGCCACTTTTTTAATTTTAGGCATCATGTCTAGTATTGTCTTTATTTTCTTATTATATGTACTATGCATGCATTTTGTCTTTTCATGATTTATTATTCTCTTATATGTAATTAGATTGCATCAAGGGGTAAGATAAATACGTCCCCCCTAAATAAGTGTAATTTAATTTTTAATCAATAAAATCTCTCTCGCACCGTCGAGGTTCCACCAAAATAAAAAAGTGTTTTAAGGTTTAGGATTTTAGGATTTAGGGTTTAAGGATTTTTGGGTTTGAAGTTTTTGGGTTTTAGAGTTTAGGGTTTAGGATTTTAGGGTTTATAATTTAAGATTTAGGGTGTAGGGTTTAGGGTATAGGAGCAGGAGGGGGCAGAATGTTATTTTCTAGTAAGAGAAGCTCTCACCACTCTCTAGATTTCTTTCTTTGCTTTTAGCTAATTTATTGCTTTCTCCGCTTTAAATAGTGCATTTTCTATGACATCTGATCAGGATCAGAGTCAAATCCCACCTAAGCCACCGAATATTTCACTTAATTCCCCCCAAACCCCCAAGAATCCATTGAATTCTTCAACACAGTCAAAATCGGTGCACTTTACCGATCTTGGTCAGAATGGAGCAATAGCTCCAGCAACGGTGTAGGATGCCGAGAAACACCCTGGTATGCCTCCTACAAACACGAATCCACAGACTGGAACATTTATTGCAAAAAACCTTTCAAAATTGGTGTATTTTACCGAGTCGAGGCAGCAAGGGGCGATTCCTCAAGAAACGCAAAAACACGCAGCAAACTCCTCTGGTATGCCTCCCTTGATTTTAAAAATCCAACCCAAATCTAATATCAAAAAGAACTTCGCCTCTCTTTTCAAGAAACCCTCTTCTACTCTGTCCCATTTGGTGTCTGTTATTCCTTTGGATCCTTCGACTTCCTCGGCACCACTAGAAGTTTCTCAGCCAATTGAGGGGGTGCCTTCTCCGGTACCTTCAGCGTCTTTTATCAGACCAGCAAAAAGGGTGGTGTACAACGATAGAGAACCAGGGATGTACTGGTCTGCCGCTGAAACCCAAGAGCTGTCTAAGAAGTTTCACCAAACTTTAATAGGTAAATGTGCGTATGGAAAGCCTTCAATCGGAGTGATCAGGGAATTTATCACTACTAGATGGCTTCCAAAGGGTAACTTCACTGTTGGAATCTTAGACCCTCGACATGTCCTTATTAGTTTTGAAATCTATGAGGACTATGTCAAGACGTGGCCGAAGGATGTGACGTATATCGAGGGATTCTTGTTCAGATTTTTTAAGTGGTTCCCGAAATTCCTACCCTGCATTGAACCTCCTGTGGTGGCTATCTGGATTTCACTCCCAGGTTTGCCAATCCATTTATTCGATAAAGAGAGCCTTCGGGATATATTGAACCCCATTGGAAAGATTATTGTAATAGATTCATCCACACTACAATTAACAAGGCCAGGCATGGCAAGGGCTTGTGTAGAAGTAAATCTACTAGCGGACAATCCCATGAGGTTTTGGTTGGATTTTGGAGGAGCTAGTGGGTGTTGGCAGAAAATAATTTATGAGAAATCTGTGAACTATTGTGCTGGTTGTCTGAAGCAAGGTCATGGGATGCTTGAATGTCGCAAAGGCAAGAGGGAAGATGAGGCACCCCTAGGAAAGCAGGCGAATGACACAAAGGAGGAAGGAAAGCAGAAAATGGGGAAAGTGAAGAAGGTTGACAACCCAAGGGAAAGGAAAAGGAATGGCAGAAAGTCACAAGAAAAGGGGGTTCCAAAGCAATTTTGAAGGATAGCCATCACGTATCTCAAGGACCCAGCACTTCAAAAAACAAGACTGTTGGAGGCGTTGATAAAACTAAAAATGTCAATGTGATGAGAAAGGAACAACATGGTAAAAATGTGGAAATGGACAGAAAATATATCTCCCTCGATTGTATATGAGATAGAGGAGGCACTGCAAATGGAAGCAACCCCTGTATGTTTGTTGAATAAACAAATCCAACCATCCACATCTTCTTCCTTTCTTGTTGATCACTCGTTTGGACGAAGAGGGAATCCTACCTATTCATTAGATGATGAGAATGGGCTGATAAAGGATAAAGAACCACCATACAAGGGTTTTATTCAGACCAAGAAAGCTCAAAAAATTGGAACGTCTTAGCTGAGGACAGTGATGATGATGAAGATCAAAGACTGGCTTTGATAAATCAAGTAGAAGAGGACTTCGCAGACTCTAGTACTGGGTGTAGTCCCACTGATAATGCTGACCCCATATCTTTATGATGAATTTTCTCTTATGGAATGTACGGGGAGCTGGTAAAGAAAGCCCAAGAAGTAGGTTAAAGAAATTGATTGTGATGAATAAGGTATGTTTACTGGCTATAATTGAACCTAAAATTTCTCCTAGCAAATTGAGAAATTTTGGATCTGCAGTTGGAATGAATTCATTTATGGCTAACCCCTTGGCAGAGAAAAACATGTGGCTTCTATGGAATGATAAATTAGAGGTAAAGAATATGCTAAACTTTGATCAGGCTATAACCGTTTCTGTCTCTTACTTGGGAGCTGACCCTATTCTAATTACTGTGGTTTATGGATGTTGTGACTATCTTTTAAGAAGACCTCTATGGGGGCACTTATAGTTTATTTCCTCCTCTTTTGCTATGCCCTGGCTTGTCATGGGGGATTTTAACATAGTAATGAGTTCTAACGAAAGATTAGGTGGTGTTTTTCCATCAATGCTGGCTATGGAAGAATTTGGGGCCTGTATCCAATCGGAGGGGCTTATTGATTGTGGTTATGAAGGTAACAACTTCACTTGGTGTAATGGGCATCATGGAGGCTCTAGGATGTGGCAAAGGCTGGACATAATGTTTGCCAATTCTAAATGGAATGCTAAATTTCAGAAATCTCTGGTATTGCACTTGGCACAAGGAAGCTCTGATCATTGTCCTCTACTCCTTAAAACGGAGGTAAATGATGGCTAGCCAAGAATCTCCTATTTCAAATTTCTGGATAAGTGGGTTGAAGACCCTTCTTTTTTACCATTGGTAGCATCAAATTGGAATGGGTGTATTACAGGGAACCCAATCGAAAATTTCTTCTTCAAGCTGAAAAATCTTAAGCTCAAAATTAAATGGTGGAACAAGGAGGTTTTTGGAAATATCTTTGAAAAGATTAGAAGGCAGGAATTGGAACTGAAAGATGCTGAAAAAAGTGTAGATGCATGTTACTTGGAAAATAATGTAGCCATTCTAGAAAAAGCAAGAAAGAGTATGGAGGAAACTTTAAGGTTGGAAGAACTGTACTAGAGGCAAAAAGCAAATGTAAAATGGGCATTAGAAGGGGAAAGGAATACTAAGTTTTTTCATGCTATGGCCAGAGGGAAGGCAGTGAGCAACAGAGTGCTAAGAATTAAGGGCGAGGATGGTGTATGGTGTGACTCGGAGGATGACATTGCCCGTAATGCTGTTTCCTTTTTTACCAAATTGTACAAATCAGAAAACGATATGTTAGAAGAAAATTTATTTGGGGTCATACCTAATCTGGTAAGTGATGCTGCAAATGAGAATTTAACTAAGGTTGCTTCGCTTCATGAGCTAAAACAGGTTGTTTTCTCTATGTCTATGGAGAACGCCCCGGGTGTTGATGGTTTCTCTGGCAAATTCTTCCAGGTGGCATGAGAGATTATTAAAAAGGACTTACTAGAGGCGATAAATTTTTTCTTGGGAGGGGGGGGGGTAGTCCCTAGGTCTGTGAACTCTACACTCCTTGTCTTAATCCCGAAAGTGACCAAGCCTAGTTCATTCTTAAAATTTAGGCCTATAGGCCTTTGTAACTTTCTATACAAAATTTTTACCAAGATTCTTTCCAACAGGCTTGCAGCTCTTCTTCCCGACTTGATTTCAAATGCACAACACGACTTTGTTAAAGGGTGAGGAATTGGGGACTGTATATCTTTGGCTCAACTAATGGTTGGTGAACTTGATAGGAAAGTGGAGGCAGGAAATGTGATTGTCAAACTGGATATGATGAAAGCGTATGACCGTATTGATTGGGATTTCTTGGAAAGAACACTGCAATGCTTTGGCTTCTCAAGCTTATTTATTGCTATCATTGGCAACTGTTTGAAAAACTAGTTCTTTTCGGTTTGCTTGAATGGGAAATGATTTGGTTATTCCCGTCATCTAGAGGGTTGAGGCAAGGTGATCCGATTTCCCCCGCTCTGTTTATTCTAGCAGAGGAAGTGATAAGTAGGGGCTTGATCCAACTGTATGGGGAAGGAAGAGTAAAAGCTTTTCATGTAGGCAAGGGTGCACTGCTGGTATCCCACCTCCTCTTCGCTGATGACACTTTATTATTTCTCAGAGGAAATAAGCTCTCGATGGAGCACTTGATGAGGTTTTTGGCTAGATACGAGGGGGGATCTGGACAGAAAATAAGTAAGGAAAAAAGCTCTCTTATTTGCTCCTCTAAAATTCCTCAAGGTAGACAAAAGGCACTATCCAGAATTGCCCATATCCCTGTTAAAAAGTGTCATGTTACTTATTTGGGTTGCCCAATGATTAAGGGTAGGTATAGACTGCGGGATTTTGAGGAAGTGGTATTAAAATTCAAGGCTAAAATGGAAGGATGGTATTCTTGCTTATTGTCAAATATAGGCAGGATAGTATTGATTCAATCGATTCTTAGTGCTATCTCGGTGCATTTGCTTTCCTGTTTATGTTTACCCAAAGGCATTCTTCTCAAGTTGAAATCATTGACAGCCTCTTTCTTGTGGTCTGGTAAGATGGGAGAGAGAAAAAGACAGTGGGTGTCATGGGCAGATATCTCAAGACCAAAGCAAGAGGGGGGCCTTGGAATCCGTAAACTTGAGGATATACAGACGGCATTCAGATGGAAGCAGGTTTGGGGAATTTTAAAGGGCAACTCTCTGTGGGCAAACATGTTCAGGGCAAAGTTCTTAAGCGGAAAACACATGTTGAGATGCTGCGGTACTGGGAAAGCTCAAATTTTTCGCATGCTACAACCTTTTTTCGCAACTGTTCTGCGAAACTGCTAGGTTTTGATTGGTAATGGTAGGTCTGTGGACTTTTGGTGCACTAACTGGGTTGGCAATGGACCCTTGCTTTACAGAATAGAGGAAACCCTTTTATCTTTCCTAAGACTTGATGAGATTTGGGTTGGAGGGGCCTGGCAGTGACACAAATTGGGTATTGCTATTCCTGACCAACTTAGGCAGGAAACTCAAAGTGCTAGAATCCATCTACCTGACAAGGAAGATCAACTGGTATGGAAATTATCTGAAAGCGGCAAGTTCACTGTCAAGTCTGCTTGGGATTCGACAAGAATTTCAAGTGATCCTGATGCTGCGAATTCCACGATTTGGAGTCAGTCTGTCTTCCCTAGCGCAAAGCTGCTAGGCTGGAAAATTCATCATAAGGAAGTGGTTATTGATTCAAATTTCCAAAAATAGGAGTTAAATTGGCCAGTAGGTGCCCCCTTTGTTGTCAGGATACGGAGTCTGTAATTCACCTCTTTATTCAATGTCCTTTTGCATACGAAGTATGGAGAAAACTGGCTGCGTTAGGTGGGTTCCAAATTTTTGCGTTTGAATCTCCAATGGTAAGAATGATGAGGTTGACTAGGGTCTTCAAAAAGCAGTATGCACAGCCTGCTTAGAGGTATCTCTTTGGTGGTGTTTTGGAAATTATGGACGACGAGATGTAAAAGAGTTTATGATGATATTTCTTTAAATGCCCATGCTGTATTTTTGGATGTTTGCTCAGCTCTTAGATTGCAGGCCCATGGTATTAGACCCAAAACAATAGAAGGAATTATGGGCATGGAGTTTTTGAAATCCTTAAAAGTTGAGGTGAGGTCTAAGCTGAAACCGAAGGTTGTTTGGGTGAGATGGATGACTGGAATTAGAAGTTATTAAAGGTGAGATGGATGACTGGCTAAGGAGAGAAGAAATTTATTGGAAGCAAAAGTCCAATATAAAATGGGTTGTCCAGGGGGAGAGGAATACCAAAATTTATCATTCTATTGCAAGGAGTAGGGTTGTCAGAAATAAAGTTTCAAGGATTAAGAACAAAAATGGGGTCTGGGTGTATGGTGATAAGCAGGTGGCTGAGGTGGCTGAGGAATTTTACGCTGAACTTTATAGAGCTGAGGAACATATCATTAATGATAACATTTTGGATGTCATTCCTAAGCTTATCAGTCAAGAGGATAATGAGAAGCTTACTACTGCAGCTACTTTGGATGAGTTGAAAGATGCTGTATTTTCAATGGCAACTGAGAGTGCTCCAGGGCCAGATGGTATGTCTGGTATGTTTTATCAGTTTGCCTGGGATATTCTTAAAGTAGATGTGTGCAGAGTTATTAATTTTTTACTTGCTGGAGGTTTAATGCCCAAGTCAATGAATTCTACATTGTTAGTACTGATTCCTAAGAAGGAGGACCCTAGTTCATTCTTTGATTTTAGACCTATAAGCTTATGTAATTTCTTATATAAGATTTTTACAAAACTTCTTAACACTAGACTGTCTTCTTTGCTTCCTAGTTTAATCTCTGAGGAACAACATGGCTTTGTTAAAGGGAGAGGAATTGGAGATTGTGTGGCCTTGGGACAATTGCTTGTTGGTGAGTTAGACAGGAAGGTTGAGGGGGGGAACATGGTCATGAAATTGGATATGATGAAAGCATATAACAGGATTGAATGGAATTTTTTGTTAAAGGTCTTGGCTAGTTTTGGTTTCTCTGATTTGTTCAATCAAATTA